CCTTCTCTGTAATCTTGGGTCGTAACACCAAACCGTTGTCTCCAGCCTTGTGCTATTGATAGTCATTTCAGACCCAGTGGGTAGGAATCCAGTAATAGAGGTCTCTTTTTGTTCTAGTATTACAAAATATGCCCTAGAATTTGTTGTGGTAATTCGTCATATTTGATTGCTGTATTGTGCTGTCACTTATGCTCTTTTATAACACATGAAGGCCATTGGAGTAAAATGGAGAGTGCAACTTATAACTAGCCTTGAAATCTTATTCACTGGATAATAGGCAACAGAGACTGAGGCAGGATAGTTAGATATGTACTTAAGTTTGTATAAATGAGACACCTGATAGAATGAAAATGGCTACCACTTATAGTATTATAAATACAACAGTGAAAGAAAACAATTATGGCATTAGTAACATGAAGAAAATTCAACTCAAAGATGTTAATATAGTTTTCCTTTCTCTTAAGATTACACAGGACAAAAATGTGATTCTACATAGGAAACACCAATAAATAAATAAATAAATAACTATAAAAACACCAATACTGATTTCTTTTTTCTTTTAAAGCCAGCTAGATTTCCCAAAGTATAAGGCTGGTCGTTTTTTATATTAACCATTTTTTTTAACACTCCCCATACAGAGACTAAGGCCTACAATGAAATGCCTCTGTTCATGGTTAATGGCCATCAGTGTGTCAGTCCTGGGTCAGCTATTTTGTCTGTGCCATAGAACTTCATTGTTCAAAAATGCACTGTGTGCCATCTTTCTTCATTAGCAAACCCCAGACCCAAGTGTGGGGAGCTAGCGGATTGTAAACAAAGCAGAGAGCCTGTGCAAGCTCTTGTGCATGCACAGAGGGAATTATGACCACTTGGAGACTTGGGGCAACATAGTCAGGTCTGGGGTTTTGTAATGAACAATGTGTCACCCAGTGCAGCAGTGTGTTTCACTGATGTGGCTTTAATTGTTTGTGAACAGTAATGGAGATCTGTCGCACCAAGCTAATCCAGGACTGACAGCTGACAGACATTAGCCATGAGTTGAGACAAGTCACTGTTGGTTACAGTTTCTGTATGGAGATGCTGAAAATACTCTTAATATATATCTTATCCTTTAAAGGGCTGTTTACTATGTCAGTTCTGGTGGCATCATTCTTACAAGAAAACAACCACAAACTGAATTTGAACATCTTATTTTGAGTATTAGTATCACACAAACTCATTCACATACATACACACATGTATCACAGCTATAGAGTGTATATATGAGCATTTTTTCCTTTTTACCATGCATGAACACACACACTAGGTAAAAAGTCAGTGAGGTTCAGTAGAGTTGGAAGTAATCAATAACACTCTGAGAACTCCAAACTTTCCAATGCACTGAAAGGTTCATGAGAAGAATAGCACAGCATACAGTTAGCTCACACAGTGAAATGCACACACATACATTCACTGAACTAACTAACTGAAGAGACATATATTACAGACAATTTGCTGGGATTTCATAGCCCGAGCCTTATTTTTAAAACCGTGGACCAACACAAATAGATCCAAGTCAAGAAGTAAAATCAATAGGTTGGCAAATCAAACCACTATAGTTAGGATGTTTACAGTATGTATTTCCAACAACAGAGCTGTAAAAAAGAGGAAGATTTGCCTTGACAGCACACACACATGCTCCGAGTCCACATCTATCAACAACATGCTCAACAGCAACCCATCTCAGAAAGTGTATCAGGATTACATGGCAGATATGGCACATACACAAACACCTTTGTCAGGATTTATCAGTCTGTGCTAACTCACGTTATTAAACCTTGTACCACATATGGAAAATATATCATTTTTTGACCTGCATTGCAATTTAAATTTAGATTTTTATCTATACATTAAACAACGCTGTAGCATACACTGATCAGCCATAACATTATGACCACCTGCCTAAAACTGTTTACATAGGAGTCAATATGGCAGTTGGTTAGCACTCGTGTCACTCTGGAGCTCACTGTGCTTCTTCTGTGAATCAGGAAGAGCACAGATGTTCTACAATTCAGTGAAAAACTTATGTAAAAGGAGTGAAAACTGTAGTCGTGAGGACAAGTTAGAGAGAATTCTTTGGACAAATCCAACCTCACTGCTCTAGGTGTGATATCTCCACTACAGCTCCTGACTCTTTCTTTTCATAGAGAAGAATGTGCAGTATTTCTCATTTTCAACCATTTTAACAAAGATTCAAATAAATTTTTGATCTTTTGAAAAGTACAAATGGAAGTTAAAAGTTTAATCTACAGTAGGTCAACCTCATCATCGGTGAGCCGTGGGCGTCCATGACCCTGTCGCCAGTTCTCCGTTTGTCCTTCCTCTTGGTCGGTACTAACCACAGTAGACCAAGAACTCCCACCGGGACCTGCAGTGTGGGACATGCTCTTGACCCAGTCATCTCACCATCACAGTTTGGCCCTTGACAAAGTCACTCACATCCTTACACTTGCCCATTTTTGCTGCTTCCAACACATCAGCTTCGAGGACTGAATGTTCACTTGCTGCCTAATGTACCCCATTCCCTGACAGGTGCCACTGTAACAGATAGTGTTATTCACTTCACCCCTCAGCGGTCATAAAGTTATGGCTGATCGGTGTATACACAAACGTAATTGTTTCTAGAATCAAAAAGAACAGAGCAATTTTGTGTGTTTCCAAAGTAAACTTGCTGACTTTTTGGCCACCTTAGCCCATACTAATTAAGATAGTACATTAGTAGTGTGCTTTACCTATAATGATTACTCCTGCAACTGACTGTGTTTTTTTGGGGGGGGGGCTGTGTAATATAATAAAATATAAGCAGTATTAACAGCAACATTGACAGCAACAAACAGTGCAAACAATGCAGAATAAGCAGTATAAACAGACAGTAAATAATGCAGACAACAAAGGAATGTTTGTTGAAATGAGATAAATAGGGCTAAAAACAGAGTACCCAAGAACTAGAGACCTGTACGAGTCTGTATAATCTGTACAATGTATATATACACAGGTGTTGCACTGAGGGTTATTGTCCAGTCATACTGCCGTTGGTTAAGTGTTCATCAGAGTGATGGCCTG